GGCCCCGGAGGGTCTGGCCGTCCGGGGTGGGGGCTGGGAGCACCAGCGGTCTCCGCAGCGTGTGTGTCTGATCCGGGAGCGAGTCTGTGCTGCTGCGCGCTGTCTGCTGTACATCCTGGCTCTGCCGCTCGCTCGCTTGCGGGCGACTTACTTCACTTCTCGGGACCTTGGTTCTTTCCTCTGAAGAGGGGCTATGACTTGTAAGCATCCTGAGTTAGTGTACCGTCTCATGCCATGATGAAGGCAGTGCGTTTAAGAGTGCCGAGCCCAGGGTAATCGGTGACTCAGTGAAAGTTCTTATGATCCCCTGAGCCACACTGGGCAGTGACAAGCAGGCCCACCCCCACCAGTTGCCTGGCCGGGCAAGAGTACAAATGCAGGACACCGGTTGGCAGTCCTGTGCCTTCTGTTCAAACTCTACTCCATCCCATACCAAAAGGGGAGTCACCGTGCATTCATGGGGACACAGCCCCCTCCCTGTGAACAGCCATCCCTTGGCCCTCCTTCAGGACAGGCTGCCTTGGAAGGAGGGAGTTCCACATAAGCCCTGGAAGCAGGCTGGGGGCCATTTGAGCAGAGACGTCCAGAGTATCAGGAGCATGGTCTGGAAGGACTACGGACCCTAGATGGTCATCCCAGCTATGTGTGTATCTCAGCTGCTGCCTGGAGCTGAGGGTGCAGATGCCTCAGTTAACCACCCACCACCCAGCTGCAGGGAAGACAGGGTGGCACTAAGGTCGGGCCAGTGTCTCTCCTATTCAGCTGTGTCCCGTCATTCTAGCAACTCCTGTCATTCGCAATGCCCCTTGAAGTCTCCCCGGATTGACCTGAAAAGACCTCGTTGGTATTCAGTGCTCTTACTTGCAAGCAATAGAAACTGGTTGATTGCCCCACGTGGAAAGGGGTCATGTTGAGAGGACCCAGGGTGCCCGCAGAATCAGCGGGAGACGGAAGACCCAGATTAGGAAATGGGCAGGCACCACAGGGGCTCCATTGCCCTGAAATGATTGTGAGTCTCCCTTCTACGTTATCTTATTCCGGATACAGAGTCCTGGGCAGGATGTCGCCCCATCTGCTTGTGCTGTGGATCCTGCCTTCCCGCATCTCTGCATGCGAGGGGCGTTTCCCCCAATAAAGATAAAAGGGAGAGTTGCCAGACTGCTCCCCAAAATTCAAACACCCCTACAGATGGCCTCTCCCCTATTCAGTCTGAACAACAAATTATATAGCAAGAGTTCCCAAGTCGAGGACTGAACCCAGTAACTCAGAGAGGAGAAGCCAGCAGGTGTACAGTGGTTCTGACCGTGGTGAGGCTTGGTTCCTGGCCAGTGGGTACGAGCTGGTGCTCCACCCAGGCAGGGAGTGAACACTTGTTAATCACCAACTATGTATCAGACACTGATTAGTTATCTCACATGCCTTATCTCATTTGATCTTCCCACCAACCCTGGAAAGATGGTATGATTATGTTTAGAGGGGAGGAAATCGACTCAGAAGGGTAAGGCACCTTACCGAGCTCTTTCTGCTTGTAAATCATAGAGCAGGGAGTGGAACCCAAGACACCCTGGCACCATAGCCTAGACCACCCAGACCAGGAAACCGTTAGCTCTTCTGGTGACCTAGGTATCAGAACAAGGCAGGTTGTCATGGCTCAAGCAGTGGCTGCAACAGCTAGAACCACTCTGTCCCGACTTTGCATGCACCCCATCCTCAAAAATACACTTCCTCTGATCTTCAGACTGAGTCTGTCCTATCGTGATATCCTTTCACTTTGTTTTGTTTCTGCCTTCTGATGTCTGCTGCAGAGTTGTATCTGTGTCATTTGAAGCTCCCAGGTAATTTCTTTTTGTAGCACTTAGTGGTGTGTTATGTCCTAATAATAATAGATGGGAATAGGGCTGGTGGACTGGGCATCAGGCGCCGAAGATGCTCATTCGTATCCACTCAGGGCAGGTGAATCCTCCCTGAAAAGCAGCTCCAAAGACCAAGGTGGGAAAGGAATGTAGCAGACAGATGGTGATCACCTACCTTCCCCTCCACCCCCAACCCATGGCTCTGGGCAGCAGCCCCTTCCCTCCAGACAGGCAGGACCAGTCAGGGGCAAAAATACCCTCTGGCAGCCACAAAAAAAAAAAAAGGCTTCTCACACGGCCTGTAACCCTCGCTAAACTCTCCTGACCCACCTCCGGGCCATCAGAGGGACAACAGAAAAGCATCCTTCACCCCGACCTGGTAGGCAGTTAAGAGTAGGAGCCGGAGCAGGGAAACCACGATCAGAGGTCTAACTCCTCCACTTGGGAGCTGTGTGATCTTAGACAGGTCCCTCCAAGCTCCCCCATCCCTAGAATGGGGATGAAAGCCAAACCTATGGCCTAAATTGTTTAAGGCAGCCAAATCCTGGCCTAAATGAGATAATGCATTTAAAATGCTTATCACATAGAAAGTAGAATGGTGGCTACCAGGGGCTGGAGGGAGAAAACAATGGGGAGTTGTTGTTTGATGGGTGCAGAGTTTCCAGGTGGAAAGATGAAAACAGTGCTGGAGAGGATTGGTGATGTTTGCACAGCAGTGAGAAGGTACTTGACGCCATGAACTGTATACTTAAAAATGGTTAAAATTTATGCTCCGTATATTTTATCACAATTGAAAAAAAAAACTGTTCATCACAGTATGACATGGAAAAATTTGATGTTCCTCCAATATGCCCAGCTCATCCTATGTCAGGGCTGGGCTTTGTTCAAAAGTCAGGGTGCAGGTTGCCCCTGGGAGGGCAGGACCCATGCTCCATTTCCATTTCTTGGTCTATGTACTAGTTAAATTTGTGAATCTACTTCTTTGAAGTTCCCTATATGCCTGGAATCCTTGCTGTTATTGTTCCCACTCTCTTCCTTTGCTTGGGTGTCTGCTCAAGAGTCACCTCCATGGAGAAGTCTTCCCTGATCACCCCATCTGAAGTAGTACCTCCCAACATCCACGCTCCCCTGGCCTGATGTGTTGGTTTTGGTTTTTGGTTTTTGTTTTTTGGTTTTTTTTCATTTCTTGATGTAAAGTCAGTTTACAATGTTGTGTCAGTTTCTGGTGTACAGCATAACGTTTCAGTCATCCATATACATACATATATTCTTTTTCATGTTCTTTTTCATTATGGGTTACTACAAGATATTGAATATAGTTCCATGTAGAAACTTATTGTTTATCTGTTTTATATATAGTAGTTTGCATCTGCAAATCTCAAACTCCCAATTTATCCCTTCCCACCCCCTTTCCCCCGAATAACCCTAAGTTTGTTTTCTATGTCTGTGAGTCTGTTCTTATTTTGTAAACAAGGTCACCTGTTTTGTTTGTTTGTTTGTTTTGATTT